TAAGTAAATATAAATATATTATCTTATATCGACAACAAGGAAAAATTATAACTTATTAAATTGTCTAGTGCACTTCCAAAAATAATTTTTTTGGCTCCGCCTCTGCCCCTAACATTCGCCCTTTATGCCTCCGCCACTACCCATCAATATCTTGCAGTATCTACATGAGCTTACATTAAATAAAGATCAATGATTTATCTTGTATCTATCTAAGGTATTTACTCAATCTGTAAATAAATTTGAGATCCTTCTATCCAATCAGTAATCAATAATATATTAGACGTAGCTTATTAGACATTTACTCCCTGGAAGTAGAAATAAAGTACACAAATATTTTTGTCTTATTATTTTCCTTTTTCTTCCGTATCTCCAGTTTTCTTTTAATGAATTTCTTCATGCACGTCGAATTAATGGCAATGCAAGCTGTCCACGCGAATCAACATGCAATTACAATATTCAATGGATGGTAGGGGAGTTGACCTGCAGTTATTCCCAAAACATTATACACCTTTAAATATTTCATTACTATATCACATGGTTTCATCTTTTAAATGTTGTATAATCCGTGACTAAAGGTACTTTATAACTTAAAAAAAACTTTTAATTTGAAATAATTTTCTTTCTTTTGTTTTAATTAAAAAATTGAAATAAATTTAGCCCCTGTTATTTTTTTAAAAATTTTGACAAAATTTCCTTCAAAAATAAAAATTTGAAGAAATTTCAACATGTCTACATTACTAATATATCTCATTGTATGTATCACTGTCAAGCATACACCATTGCATTGTCCAACACAAACCATTGCACTCCAATCTCAAAAAAAATTACTCAATCAAACTCAAAAACATCGTCATATTTTAGTCACTACCTAATTCAAACCAAAAATAGCATTTATATATATCTTAATAACAAAAGTCACAATCACATGTTATATACGCAAGTCCAACCAAAGATTGACCCATGACTGAAGATACTCTGAAATACAAAAAAATTTCTATTTTAAAATACAATTGAAAAAAGCTTATAAAGCTAAAGGAAATAATGCATTTCAAATAGGACAAAGCTTCAAACAGTTTCTTTCAATGTTACAATAATCAGATGAATTAAAAGAAATCTTACTTCCCCATGTAATCATGTCTTAATTTTTTCAAGGAGATTGATGGGAAAAAAAAAACCCGTGCCTATGACAATTTAAGTTTCAGTCCCATAGCATTTTGCCCATCAACACCTGCATAATCAAATTCATAATTAATTAAATAATTTTAGCCAAAAATATGACACACCTAAAACAACTCCACATTGAGATTTGTCGAATAAAGAGTTATCCAATTCAGTATTAAGTTATTTTAAATACCAAACATATTGCATATCTTAGTTCAAGAAAATTCAAGCCCTCAAACCTATTAGTAAAAAAAACCTGCGGCATTGGTGATTGCACCAATTCATTGTTATGCAAACAACCATCAAAGCAAGAAGCAATTGTACAAAGCCGCAACAACAAATATATAGGAAACTGCTCAATATGAACACATAGAGCTAGAGAAAGGAAGAGTAATCAAGTATCTAAAGAGCTCGATGTGGTCCATGAACTTGTGAATTATCAAAAGTTACCATTAACTTGCTCAAGGCGCCTGACATATTTTTTAATCACAAAAATATTAATCACAATAAGTCACCCAACAAAATTCCAACATACGATCTCAAGTTATGACATATGCCCTAGGGATAACCAAAGGAACAGTCACCCACATGGGAATATTGCAGCATGTCCACCAATGTATCCCATAAGCACTCATATGTTCCTGGAAAAAATAAATTAGCAGTGGATGCACTTTTACATACCTGGAATCCATACTTCACGCTCACATGACCAGCTAACATGTTGATCAGTATTCGCGGGATGAAAAATGGACTAAGCCGACGAACGCGCTGAGATCATAAAGCAGATAGTTATCACTTATCTTGCTCGTGGTCTGGAGCCTTAGATGTTGTTTTTAAGGCTCTAGTTGAGACCATCAATAGAAATGGACCAACTCAAAGAAGAAGCATGATTCATCAGATTTCTTTTTCCGTTCATCAGGCTGACAAACTTATAAAGAAACCAACATTTTCACAAATCATTTGTGACGCATCCAATATATGACTAATGCTTCCGGTTCTAGCACCTATGACATAACATCTCCTCCTAACATCTGAAGAAGTAGAGCAATTACTGTCTTTTCCTTCTCCACCTACGCAGTGGGTAACCAAATTGCATAATGACATAGGGCATAGCCAATAAACCTTGCAATTGATCTATGGTCCTGAGAAATAGAACAATGGAAGCTCTTGCATGAAATAGTTGATAGAGATCATAATAACTGTTTTGAATTAAAGAACAAGCATGCATAAGCATAACTTTCTTGATAACCAAACAGATAAAGTCACTAACAAAACTTACAAATAGAAATTAAGGAGCGACAAACATGCATAACGTTCTTGATAACCAAATAGATAAAGTCACTAACAAAAATTACAAACAACAATTGAGGGGCGTCCAAAAAGTAACTTATAATAAATACTACCTCAAAGCCAAGCATATTATCTCTGCCTAGGTATCTAGATTCTCGCTAACCACCTAGTTTACTCCTTCCATCAAAATATGGTAAATCAATTCCCCTTGTGGTTGTAGAGCAAGGGCAACTTGATGTGTGGATAAACAGGAACAAATTGTTCTACGATTGAGTAAAGAAGTAGGCTCTCATACTTTAACCATTCCAGCTGCTCGATTTCAGCACCTTTAAATTGGCATTTTGACAGTACGTTGAAATATAAGGAAGCTGCCTTGAGTGACAAAGTCGTTCTTTAACTCCACAATCATTTCTATGCCCACGTAGATCAAACAAAACCCAGACAATTAGAAAGAAATATACAACGGATTGTCTCTACAAATATACGCAAGGGAAAATAAAATGAACCATGGAGCAAACACACAATAAACCAAAGCTTGACTGCAACAATAAACAATAAACCAAAATGAGTTAACAATAAACAATAAACAATAAACCAAAGCCTAACTGTATCATGGAGCAACGAACTCGGTGGTGATTGGGGCATTTTGACGAACACTTCATGTACACCCATAAAATTGGGGCATTTTGGAGCTGGGCTGGTAGAGGGTTAGAGAGAGATAGAGAAATAGAGTGAGGAGATGGTGGGAAAAGAGAAACAGAAAGAGGGGAAGAAGGATGGGGGGATTACCTGGCAATGGCAGTGGTTGTGGCTGTGAAGAACTCGGTAATGTCTGCCTCGCTGTGAAGAAAGTTTGAGTCTCGGTGGCTGTGAAGAACGTTTGAATTCGAAGACGAAGGCATGAATTTGGGGAAGTGACCGCCTATCTTCGGCATGAATTTGGGAAGTGATGTCTGTCGCTGCCTGACAATGATAGAGTGGTAGACTGTGTGAGAAAGGAGACTGAGAGAAAAGAGACCGAGATGAGAGAGGGATAGAGACTGAGAGGACAGAGAGAAGAGACTGTGTTGTGCCAGGGAACCGTTGGGCTTGGTTGGGATGGTGTTTTTTTTTTTTTTGGGGGGGGCAGATGTATGGGTATAAAATTCAAATATAGTCCGGTTTTATTGTATAGATATTATATGCAAAGCATCCCATTTACTTGGCCGAAAGACATTTACAAAGATATAGGCACTTTTGGACTTAGTGTTCTTGAAGCATTTACAACCTCACACTGATGCAGTGGTAACGAAGGGACCATTGTTGTTGGGCAAAATTTTAGATTTTTGCCCAACATGACTTTATTCATACAACAAAAAATTATATAAATTTTATTAATATAAGTTGTACCCATTTCAGATAACTTATTACATTCCCTTGCTTCAAGGAAACCTTTGATTCTAATGAGAAATTATCACATGTCACCGTTACATCCAAAGAGAATGGAAAGAAAAATTATTTGTTTGTTGTCATGGTTGGACCTCGGTTGCTCTACTTACTTGTTATCGAGATCAAGTCGATTCATAATATAGAGAGGTTAAATTATTTTTCAGATAAGATCAACAGGTAAATGACTCATTGATCTTGAATGGATAAAATATCTTCATGTTTTAAATGGGTGAATGACTCTTTGATTTTGTATAGGTGTAAGACTCATTTGGTTTGCAGGAAAAATTTTGAGATTTGTTGAGAGTTGTTAATGTGCCTAGTGCCTACATGTTCGATAAGGATTCAAGTCAACCATAGATCTTGAAGGTAGAATATTGGAATTTAACGGATTTTGAAATTTATTTGAAAGTGTGATTGCGAGCAGTGTGGATGTTGAACTATCTACGTATCCAACAAATGGAATTAAGTCGAACATAGTTCAAATGAAAAGAATTTAAAATTTATTTAAAGTTGATTTGAATCCGTGACTACGTCCAGTTTAGATGTTGGGCTGTCTATGTATTCATAAGTGGAATTAAGTCGAATTTAGTTTGAATAAAGAAAGGATTCTTCTTACCCGAAAAAAAAAAAGAAGAAAGGATTCTTGGGTTTGAATGGGTGTTAAATGAGTGAATGACTCATTTGATTTGGAATTGAATTTTATTTTGTTTGAAATGGATGAATGACCCATTTGATTTAGAATGAAATTTTACTCGTAAGTGACCCATCATTTTTGGCATTCAACTTAAAATTTTAACCAAATTGAATATTCGAATTCACTTAACTCATGAATGCAAATGGAATTAAATTCCACCGATGTTATTGACCTTGTTTGAGTTAAAAATACCAAAAACTTATTAAGAGAGCAAGACTCTTTTAATAAAGATCATTTAGGAGTTTAAAACTCCAAAAATTAATAAATAGTTAGAAACTCTTTAATTTTGCACCATTTAATAAATTCGAGTTTAAAACTCCAAAAAAAAAAAATGAAGGATCTTAATGACTAAATTATTGTGTCCATTAAGTTATTTCTTGGTTGCACACATTGATAGGTTTTATGAGTTAGGGCAAATTGAAACAAGAGTTATGATGATACCAAAAATTACCCAAGGTTAAGCTCGGATCAAAAGCATCTCAAAGATATGCTCCCAATAGTGGCATGCATGATAATGTCAAAATTTGGGTTTCAAGTCGAGACAACTAAGGTCAGGCGAACAAGCCGAGCTCCCAACCCCTATCTGCCCCACTCGTGACCCCAACTCAGACCTCCCAACCCATGACCCCTAACTCAGAAATCGCAGGTCAAGAGTCAGCACCAATGTGCCCCCCCCCCCCCCCCCCCCCCCCCCGTGCACACTATAACAGCTATAGGTTGCACCTTCTAGAAGGCCATGTCACGACTAGGGATTGTAGCCTCCAACAGCCAAATATTCCATCACATGGATCATAACAACCCCGAATGGTTCACGTTGATTACGTAAGGACCATGATCCCACACACTATAAATAGGGATCAATGCCTGAAACTGTAAGGTATCAAATACCTGTAAATTTACTCTCAAAAGCATTGTATTCATCTTCCCCAAGAAATAGAAAACTCCCTCATGAGCAAGAGACTCCATTAGAGTAGACTAGCCAACCTTCCAAACTGGTGAACAACTATAAACCCCCGGTCTATTGATTTCCATTCTCTATTATTATCCTCGTGTTGATTGTTTAACCATCGAGTGACTAGTAGCTCTGACTGGGTATTCCAGTAAACTCCATTAATGTCCCTTACGAATCTCCTATCTATTTCCCCCTTTTTTAGGCCCGAGCTCTACTATACAACCGCGTAAATTACACTATCAGTTTGACACCATTTGTGGGAATGATTGTTTCGATTCTTGCTAAAATTCTACTGATCTATTAGTAATTGATGGTCTCTACATACAACATGAGCAAAACTTAGGGAAATCTACTACAGTTGTAGAACCAGCAAGAAGCCAATGTCGTGGGATAGCAAAGAATAGAGGTTCCTGCAACCAGCACCCTTGAGAATTCTGCTCTTCTACCACCTGGGGCCCTATCCTCTAAGTTGCTGGGCTCTGCTCCTGCTGCTGAAGCTTCATCCATGGAATTGCAGAACCCTTTATTTACTCCTTCTTTTGAAACTTAGGATCTTGAGTTGTAATTTTTGTTTGGAATAACTCGTATTTTTGGATTGTAACTTCACTTTTGATGCTCTAAAGTATAATCCTCGTTTTGAAATGGTGCACATCATTTTTTAGTCTATCTGACCTATATTTGTAATACCGACTCACATTGTGCACTCTTTAGAACTTAAAGATCAGAGCATTCATGTAGGGATACAAGTAAACCTCGATTCAAATAAATCCAAAGGGCTCCATTGGGGAGATGTACTAGAAGGTCCATTCAACCATACGAGTTGACCTCAGTTCAAAGAAATTTGAAAACTTTCTTAAGGGATTCTGGAAGTCTAACCCCAGATTCATACAAGACTTCTTTGAGGAGATATACCAGAAGGTCCACACAACCACACGAGCTAACCTTAGCCTAAAGGCATCTAACCTCCAAAGTCAGGGGTTGAGTGCTGCCTTATTTCTCAAATTTCGCTACAGCTTATCACGCCGTGTTCTTCCTGGCTTACCGAGTGCTGAGAACGCTTGAGATGGATGAGGAGTATTATGGAAATGTTGGAGCTATTTTTTCCTTCTGCTAATCCTAACCTCAAAACATAAAATCTATCTCTATGAGCACTCCTAGATGCTAACGTTGTACAAACTACTACCAAGAAACCCCTGTTCCCTTAGGGCTTATCTTATTGCTTCATTTTTGCTAAGTTACATATCACTACTTATGCTCCTCCTTCCCCCCTTGCTTCTAGGGGTCGTTTAGATCTCCTTGAGGCAATGGAGTCTAGAGCTCCTACTTCCCCGGAGCCTGGAAGCCCTCGGTGTAGACCTCCCAAAACTTTTCTAAGGTCCGCAAGGTGCATTAACCACGCGAAATCTAGTTTCATTCTTGAATTGGTTTTCAATGTTGTTGGGTATAGAGACTAGGGTATAGTTATTTCTAATGCATCTGCTAGCATTGCTGGTAATATGGCTCTAGTAGCTGCTTATGCTTATGAAGCCTTACTGTGTCTTAGAAACCAAGCTCCCTTGGGAAGTCTTCATGTTTACACCCTTTTTTGTCAACACAAAGAAATCTGAGAAGTCTCCTCTAGGATGTGACCCAACTATTTAACTTATTGAGCCTCATCATACCCAAGGAAAGAATCCGACCTCCTTGGCTCGTTCAAGGCTGCACGGGTTTTTCTCTCTTTTTTTTTTTTGAAAAGCCTACCTTGTCGATTGCCAAGCACTTGTCTTTTGTTGTTGCTTTCTAGTAATGAACTGTTTTAGATCGTTCCTTGCTTTCTGAGGAGTTTACTTCTCGTGAGCTATATAGATCTCCTCTGTATTCTTATGAGCCAAAAAACTCATCTTTTGTCTATGAGCTGAAGAGGTCATCTTTATTTTATGAGTTAAAGAGCTCATTCTTTGTTTTATGAGCTAAAAAGCTCATCTTTGTTTTACGAGCTGAAGAGCTCGTCTTTGCTTTATAAGCTGAAAAGCTCATTCTTTGTTTTATAAGCTGAAGAGCTCATCTTTGTTTTACGAGCTGAAGAGCTCATCTTTATTTTATGAGCTAAAGAGTTCATTCTTTGTTTTAGGAGCTAAAAAGCTCATCTTTGTTTCACGAGCTGAGGAGCTCGTCTTTATTTTATGAGTTGAAGAGCTCATTCTTTGTTTTATAAGCTGAAGAGCTTATATTTGTTTTACGAGCTAAAAAATTCGTCTTTGTTTTATGAGTTGAAGAGTTCATCTTTATTTTATGAGCTGAAGAGCTCATTATTTGTTTTATGAGCTGAAGAGCTCATCTTTGTTTTACGAGTTGAAGAGCTCATCTTTAAGCTTGAAGCCTTTTTGCAAATGCACACAATGTTGGGTCAAAAACTCACGATCTGATTGAGGAAATAATTTTATTACAGAAAGACTCACTGAAAAACCCTCTTAAGGTGCTCTTCATTCCATGAATGAGGCAGGATTTTTCCTTCCTTGGTTTGCAGCTCATAGTTTTTGGGTTTGATGACCTTTGATATAATATAAGGACCTTCCTAGTTTGGGCCCAGTTTTTCATGGGAAGGGTCTTTCCTCGCGAGCAGTAGCTTTCTAAGCACTAGATCTCCAACCTTGAAACTTATGTGCCTCGCCTTCCTGTCATAGTATCTAGCTTTCCTCCTCTAGTAATGCTTTATGTGCTGCAAAGTTTTGTCTCTCTTCTCATCCAAAAGATTGAGGTTGAGCAGGAGCGCTTCATCGTTACGCTTTGTTTCGCCGTATTCAGTTCTGGGAGATGGCAACCCAATCTCTATGGAAAGCCACAACTTC